CCACATCACACACACACACACACACACACATTGTGGTGCACACCATGCATATGCGCTGCAGTGGAACGTATCTCAGTGCATGATCTTTCTTTTTATATTTTTCTTTACAAAAAACATTTAACTGTGGCAGCGCATGGCAAAGCTTTTACCTGTTTAAAAAAAACATTAAATTAACTGTGGCAGCACATGGCAAAGCTTTGACTCGCATGCATTGATACCTTGTGTTGCAATTAAATGTACACCTGTATCGTATCATTTTATCACACACAACACAAACACCAAAACAATTTTTTACATAAGTCAATGAGTTTTGTATACCTTCATTTTTTTACCTTTTTGCAAAAAGGCACAATAACAAATTTTGTTTAACTCAATACAGTTTTTTTTATCTTTTTAGATTTAGTCAGAAAATATATTTTTTTTTTTTGCGCTAACTGATTTTGTTTTGTTTTACAATTGAATTGTGTAATAATTATCGGTTTAATAATTTGAGAAACATTTGCGCAATTATCGCAGGGCCTACAAATTTAGTTTCGCCATCTTTTTATTCTACCGGGCCTTCGCTTTCAGAAAATATATGGTTTGGGGGGTCTTTTACAAACGCTAGCAGCCCAGCAGTTGACAAATCAATAGGAAAAAATGGCTTGGCCAGCTGATTTGAAAAATGTTCCGGAGGGCTTGGCAGCAAAAGGGTTAACAGCCAGTGCCTGGCTTATTAAATATTGCCAAGATGCAATATAACTGCAAAAGGGGCAGCAAGCAGTCACATTTCCAGCATCTGAACAGACCCTCAAGGGGAAGGGGGTGTTGGTATGATCACTGCAAATGTATGCTTCAATAAATGTGAATGCAAATGCTTCCCTAAAGGTCGCCAGATATTGCAAAAGTGCTAGGAGTCTTGCCTCAGCTTGTAGAAACTGTTTCTTGCTGTATAATGTAAAATTGTGTGGGGTTTTTAACAAAAAAAAGTAATGGTAGGGTAGTGCTCGCCCCTGAAGGAACCACTGTGAATTTTGGGTTCTTCTGTCCCACCCCAGTGACTCACCCTTATCTTACCAGTGAAACAAACGCACCATTTAGAGCAAAGTGATCGCCTTTAGCTAGAGCTACATTGGCAGCAAACAGGATCCAGCAGGAACAAGCAAGATCAATTCACAGAAGGATAGCTAAAGACTTCCCACCATTTGATGCACTTTATGCATCTTCCTTGCAGCAATTTGTAGCTTGATAACTGGCTCAGCCAGGTGGATGCAACTTACAGAATTCCAAAATCTGGATGATTGCACAGAACAATCTGCCTCCTAGATGTCTCTGCACTGTTAGAACATCTTCAGAGATCAGGCGGAAGGGTTGCACTGCATACTGAGGCTCCCCTGAAGCCGACACCTCCCTTTTAGGTCTCCATATGAATCAGACTCTAGCAATACAAAGGGAACACAGCAGAACACAGCACAAGGGACACTTACCCCTGTTTGGCTGCAACACACCAGCTTGTGTGTCTGGGTCTGAGCTGCGTCCCACTTGTCAGGTGGTGGGTGGGGCTCTCCTGTGGAGCTAGCCAACAAAGTCCCTCCTTGATTCTGTTAGGGGTGGGCTTTCTCCTAAGCTACAGCAACAACCAAAAAAAGGGGCAAGGCAGCCAATAGCCTCAATCACTGGGCTGTCAGTCAAGAAGGGAGAAGCCAATTACAGCTCTCCTGTGGAGCTAGCCAACAAAGTCCCTCCTTGATTCTGTTAGGGGTGGGCTTTCTCCTAAGCTACAGCAACAACCAAAAAAAGGGGCAAGGCAGCCAATAGCCTCAATCACTGGGCTGTCAGTCAAGAAGGGAGGTATACAGTGCAGTGTTTCAGGGAGCAATCATCTACAGCAGCTGGTGCTACAGTAAAATGGTGTAGAAAGACTTCTTGATTTTTAAAGACTGAGGGGGGGGGGTCTTGATTTACTTTGAAAAGTTGCAGGAAAGTGGATCTGAAAATTTGCCGGAAAGTGGATCTGTTAAGTATTGAAGATGGGCAACTGGCAATATCATGCTTGGCAATGGCAGCCATTAAGCGGCATAGCCTTTTAATTATAGTGCTAAAAGCAGGACGTATACCTGCTTATCAATGGTATCCCTGGATGCGACATTTAGGTGCCTCAATGAAAACATGGGGATTATAGCACGCCCGTTCATGTATCTTGTGGCTGCTTGGGAATATCGGTTACAAGAAAATCTTACTGGTGAACCATGTCTCTTTTGAATTTCAGTTATCTCAGACCCCTGGTGAACATACTCCAGTCTTTCTGCCCAGTGACGCAGAACTTGATTGGTTACTGGCCAAGATCTGGGTTCGTAATTCTGACTTTCAGGTACATGAAATTGGTGCTCACCTTATTCGTACCCATCTCTTGGCTGAGGTCTTCTCCATTGCTACCATCAGGCAACTTCCAATGGGACACCCAGTATATAAGGTGAGATGGTGGCTTTTTGGTA